CCACATTACCCGGTACCTTCTTTTTGCCCCCTATGTATTGGGGCAGGGGCCAGGATCGTGGGGTGGTGACAGTGCAGGGCTGGGGAAGAGTTGTGATCTGCTCCTGGCATGCCCTGCCCACAGAACGGGTGCCCATTCCAGGGATGAGTGGGCAGCAGATTGTGGCTCTGCCCTGGGCCCCAGCCTCATGCTCACTACCCCACAATCCCAGCTCTGACTCTGGCCCCAGCCCCAGCCCCACCTGCCTGTCCCACTCCTGGACACTACTCCCCACACAATTACAGCACCATCCCATCCACCTGGCCAAGTGCACCCAGCTTACATAGGTCCTGTGCCAGTCTCCATGGAGACCCTGCCTGCCTGCTCTGTTTGGCACCCCAGTGGTGGGTGCAAGGTGGATAGGCTGGGGTGCCTAGGCGGTAGGGTTGGGGCTGGCAGTAGTGGTGACACGAGCAATGGCAGTCAGAAAGAGCCACTGCTGCTGAGGGTGCTGGAAAGCAGAATCTGGCAACCACACTGTCCCCACCTTGCTGCACACCCAGGGATGGCAGGACTGGTTGCACACGTCATGGCCCGGGCTGCCTCCTGTGCATGGGCTGGATGTGGCCTAGCTACCCTCTGTGAACTGGATAAAATCCCTTGGCGGCCAGATCTGGCCCATGTGCCATATTTTGCCTACCCCTGTATTAACCCCTTGGAGGCTGCTGTGGCTCGTGGGTTACTAGTTATACAGCCCTGATCTAATCTGGTACAGGGTGATACATTCAATGTATCAAGATTAAAATATTAAAAGATTAAAAGATTAATCTTGTGTTTGCACGATTAAAAAGGAGGACCTAAGATTTCTAGTATCTGAAGAATGAGCTGAGTATCTCTGCAGGCTGCTCATTGGCCACTTTATTGAGATCTTCAGGGCTTCATGGCTACAATCTTCTTCAATACCAAAAGCAATCAAGGACTTTCCATCTGAATTTTGTGGTTTTTTTAGTATCTGAACTGATGAAATCTTGAGTTCAGTAAAGGATTTGATATCTACTATCTGCTTGTTGGCTGTACATATGCCAGACCCTCCTCCTCCCCCAGGAAAAGACAGACTGGATCCTAAAGCTTCATTATAGAGGCATATTATGGCTATAACCCATGGTAGTTGACAGAACCACCAATGCAGCAGAAGATTTTCCCGTGTGAGAATCCCTCTTCTCCTTTTCCTTTGCAGGGCAGTCTGCATTCATCTCATAGGAATGCTATGTCATAGGAGCACACTGCATATATGTTTTCATGTCCAGATGAGCACACATATACGGTTTGTCATGCCTCAGAAATGTTTGAGGTGCCGCAAACTTCATGTAGCTCACATGCAACTGTTCACCGCACTGCAAATTTACCATGTCAGCCTGAGCAACTAGAAGCTGGGTCTTCCAGGGAGACACTCTGGTTGCTGCTCCAGTGCTTTAAGTGTCCCCTGGCTCCTCCAGCATGCCATTTCCCTAAAGTGGGGCATTTTGCCCCACAGCAGACCCCATGTGCAGGGGTATACACAGCAGCAAAAAGCAGCTGCAAAATTCATGCCATGGGAAACATCTGCCCCTGCATGTGGGGACTTTCCCATATAGAATGAAAGTTTGACGCTTTTGTCGAGAGTTGACCAGAGCCGTTGTGGGATCCATGGCTCTTTCCCCCTTTATGGAAAATGCCATTTTATTTTCTGGGGGTCTGGAACCACACCAATTGCAACCAGCAGATCCGGGGAATGATAAAGAATAGGGGTGCACCAATAAGTTTGAGTTGGGGAGCAGGAGCGAGGGGAGCAGGGTGCACGTG